AGCCAGGAACAGCGGGTGTACGGGGTCCCTCCTGCCCCCCTCGCCGCCTCCTTGTGCTCCCCTTGCCCCGCACCCCATGCCCGGCATCCCAAGAGACAGATGCAAAATTAAGAACAGGAGAAGTCTGACTGAATTGCAGGATGATTATTATTATTATTTCTAATTACCCAGCTTACTAGAATGAGAAGAGTTTCATTTCAAAATAAAACCAACTCAGATTGCACAAAATACTGTCATAGACACTCCTGTGACCCAGGGCTGGGGGCTAGGTGCCAGGGCTTCTCCAGCTGACTGCTTTCTCAGGAAATTTGTGGCTTTGCAGCTATTTTTGAGGCAGGTCATGGCAACATGGACTGGTGATGTGGCCTCCATAAATCAGCAGGTGCTCCTGGAGAACCCTCTGTGCTGAAGGGCTGAGACCTCTGGGCCAGTTAATCTCCTGGTAGCTGTAGGAAGCACAGTGCCGTCCAAAACCCTTGAGTTTTACATGGGCTTGTTCTGCTGAATGGCTTTGGGGGGGACTGGAAAGCTCTCAGTTTTGCCCTCCTTGCGAGATAAACCTTGGGGAACAAGCGATTTCCCCTTAGGGAGTGCAATAAGCAAGGTCACCGGCGCAGAGGTGTTGGGAAGAGGTCAGCCTGCTCTTGGGACTGCGTGCTTCAGGCAGGGGAAGAGAATTTGCCTGCAGCTCCCAGAACCGTTAACAGCCAGCAGAGTTTTCACTCCTTTCTCTTGCAGGGCATATACCCTGTGGCCTCATCTGCCACCCTGATAAGGAGCATGTTCTTTATCCCCTGGGATGTACTGTAGTTATTCAAGACCTGGAGAGTAAGAAACAGACTTTCTTGCACGGCCACACCAATAATGTCTCCTGCATTGTCATATCCAGGAACGGGGTGTACGTTGCTTCTGGACAAGTCACTTTTGTGGGCTTCAAGGTGGATAATGTTCTGATTTTAACCACATAATACTGACCAAAGAAATTGGAGTTGGCTTGCCAGCGGTGGGAACACCTTTTGTTTATTTTTTCTTTTGTTGGAAAACAAATGCCTAGAGTGGGAGGACGTTGCAGAGAATGGGAAATTGTGCCTAGTCCATTGCTGGATGTGCCTTTATGTTTTTGTAAAGTATTAAGCAGACTCCCTAGGATTGAGTTAACTAGGTGGAGGGATTTCTTAGTTTCGGTCCTTTTTATCCAAAGTGTTGTGGGCATGTGGCAGCTTAAATCTCATTAGACATTAATTAATAAATGGTGTTATATTTAAAGTGAGACCTGAGTTCCAGAGGTGCTTTCAAAAGCCCTTGACAGGTACCTACCTGCATTTTTAGACCTCTAAAGTTCTTTATGGTTTAATTTTTGCCTATTTGAAAAGACCCTGAGATGCCCGGAAGGAATCAAGTATTAGCGTTTTCAGTATTTTAAAATGTAAGTCAAATACTCAATGTCTCAGGGTAAATTTTGATTCTGAAATGAAGTAGAGCTACTCAACCAGTAAGCTGGAATAATGCTTCTTAGAGCACCTAATCTGCAGCGAATTCATGTCAGTGGAGTCCTGCGCTGGATAGAAGCTAACCTTAAGCCGGGCTGCTTCTAACAACTTTCCTGCCAGAGAAAGTTGTTATATCCAATCCTGCGTGTTATATCTAATGCTCTGGCTTTGACCCCTTCTGCTTTGCACCTCAGGCAGATGTCATTCTGTGGGATTTCCCGAAGAAGGAGTTACTTGCTCGGCTGTCACTGCATAAGGGTAAAATTGAAGGACTAGCATTTTCTCCAAACAACCTTTATCTCGTGTCACTGGGAGGCCAGGATGACGGCAGGTAACCATTTCAGCTTCTTGGCACAAGATTTCCGACAAGCTGTAGGGCATCGAAGAATGCTCTTAGGGAGTACTCACTCCTCCCTCTTCTGGCAGTCTGGTTCTTTCCCCTGTTGATGTCTTTCCTCAGTGATCCAGCTCTGTCCGATGCGAAGCCGGGTGGGTACTGTGGGCAGAGCGCAGGGTATGGGGAAACAGCTGAGGGAGAAGACAAGGGGAGCAGTAATTCTTAAGCTCGTGTCATCGCCCAGAAACCTTATGTAGCCTGCACAGTTAGCTGGCTTAATGCACTGCACTGAAGGAGTATAAATTTCACTGAGGGCTTGCTTTGACACACAGACAAGTAAGAATGGAATAAAAAGTTATTTTAAATTAGATTCCACAAGTGGCCTAAGGTATGATTTGAGTCTTGCTCAGCAGAAGGAATCTGACAAATACACATACCCTTGCTTCAGGAGCAGGGGATGTAAACTACAATTCCACACATTTGTGGTAAGTTTTTTCTTGGGTAAAATCTCTACAAAGTTACTTTTGTTGTGTATCCTGGTGGGAACAGACTGCAGGAAAATAGGTTTTGTATTGCTTTTGTTTTTCAGTAATTTGTTTTTAAGTAATGTCAAAAAGCAAAGCTATTTAAAGCCCCTCCTTCTCCTGCAGTGTGGTTGTGTGGCACGTTGCTAAGAGAGAGGCTGTCTGCGGGAGCCCTGCCTCGGCACGCAGCGCAGGGAGTGCGACCGTCGTGGTGTGCTCCAGCTGCAGAGACGAGATGTTTGTTACTGCTGGAAAGTAAGCTTTTATTTAGATGAAAGAAATGAGGGAAAGAACCCGTGGACCTGTTTCCTTTTACAAAGAGTCTTTACTTAAATACAAGGAAATTTAAGCAGCTGTGTGCTCGTGGTTTTTCTTTTTGCTCTGAATGGACCCATGAATGTCCATCAACTTGTCCCTTTAAGGCATTTCTGCTTGTTCTACATATAATGATATGTTTTCAAAGCAGCACACAGGGACCCACATGCGTCACTTCTGTTCCTGATAGCAGAATTTTGTACTCAGCATTCCCCATGCAGTGTTTAAAATATTTAGTTGCCAGTGTTTACACAAGAAAAGCAGTCATTGAGTGGCTCTGAACAATGGTTAATTAATGTAGAAACAATGATATCTTGCAGGTCATTGGATCATCTCCTATCCTCACCAGATGTGATATACAGTTGGTCACTGGCTTGTAACAAAAGTTCGTAGAAAAAGTCACATTTTGCATGGATTTGAGACAGCCCCCATATATCTAGCCTGACATTTGAATGTGTTAGGACCTGCACCTCCCTTTAAATCAGGGAAGGCTTTGGATGCTCTTGGCTGAAGTTGCACTTACAAGTGCTAGTCTTTGCAATTTTAACACTTTGTTGAATGTAAGGGCAATTGTGTGTAAAGATTTTATATTGGCTCCTATGTTGTCAATTAAATTGTGCTAGAAAATAGTTGAGTGTCCTGTACCATTCATTTCCTATTCTAGGAACTAAGATTTCCACAGTGCATGTCTCTCTGGGAAATGAAGTGTCAAGGTTGTTACATACTCCTCTGTAATCCTCATATATGTTTTTGGTGAACCTTTAAGATTTTTGATTTACTTGGAAAAAGTTACTGTAAGAGACAGCAGAAAAGACAGAGACTTCTGGCCTGATACTGTTCTTTTCCTCCTTATTAAAATTTTGGAATAATGTAGCCTTGTAAAGGCTTTTTAATTTTCCAGTAGTGAAAAAACTTGGATGTTTCTGCATATATGGATTTGATCCCGCTGTATTCATTCTTATAGTGGGACCATTCGAGTATGGGAACTGGATCTAGCAAATAGGAAAATCCGACCGACTGAATGCCAGACAGGACAATTGAGAAGAGTGATCATGTGTGTTAAGGTAAGTTTCAGCCAAAATGATTTGACTAAACTAAGAAACTCTCTACAGACTAGAGAAAACCCACGAGCTTTTATAGTAATGCTAGAAATGTCAATTACAACTGCATGATGGCAGTGAATTACTAAGTGTTGGCTCATGGCAGATGGTCTCCCACAGTTTCTTTATCCTGGGCAAGAGTGTTTTGAATGCTTCTGAAGAGAAGCAGCATGTATTTTAATCACAGGCTTTAGCACCCAGAGAATCCCACTTTTGCTTCAAAATATTATCTAGATTTGGTTAGAAAATGGCTTGCATTCAGCAGTGTTATGGATCTTTGAGTGTGACAGGATGAAAACATTGGCTTTATCCCCTCAGATTAAATCTTGGCAATATGCTGAAAAAAAGCTACGTATGCAGGCCAGTGCTAGGCTTGGGACAAGTGTCTCGGTATCCAGACCATGATCTCTTTTTTTATGCTTTCCTATAGATGGCAGATGATGATAATTATTTTTATGTTGGCACATCAAGTGGTGATGTCCTGAAAGTGAGTACAAACAACAAGCTGATGACTGACTATGGGCCCCAGAAGGAGAAGTTTAGCTCGGTGAGTAGCAGCTCTGTGACTCGAATTTTTTCCTTATCCTCCTCTTTGTTACTAACTGAAAGTAGGGCAACCTCCAGGAGAACCATTACAAAGTTGATTCACAGACTAACCCTTTTTCTGTGCTATTAGTTCTTTGTGTCTCAGTCGTGATCCTGAAGTCTGAGACCGTTAGCCCAGCTTTGTTCAGTTTCATTTGGCTCAGAATTTGGGTTTTACTTGAATCTCATCTGTCATCCCACAAACTCTCTTTATAATAAAACTGGTAAAAATCATAAAAAGTGAAAAACAATCACAAAAATGGAATAGTTCCTGAGTTCTTTTTTTTTTAGGAAGATACTAGCTGGAGTGAGACAGAGGACATTCCTGGGAAGACTGGTAGAAGTGCTTATTTGAGAGGCTTTCCCACACTTACTGCTATAAGGTCCTATATTCGGATCTTACAGATTTGTTAAATTGTCTGGGCTGAAATTTTCCAAGACAGCTGTTTGCCACAGGAAGGGTATTTTGGAAAAACTTCAAAACACTACAACTGCTCTTAAAAAAAACCCCAACCTCCTGGATTTTTGTGTTTGTTCCCCGTACCGTTCCTCCCCCTTCCCTTCAGGAGGTTGTCTTTTTGAAATTCTGATTCTGCCACTGATGAGGCAGAGGTCTTACTGAAAAAGGTAGTATAGATGATATAATTAAGGAGTTTATTATAATGCATATGCACAACTGGGACAAAACAAGGTTGCACAGGGTACATTGATTCTATTGCTTTTTAACTTCTGAGTGCTTGACTTCATAACCCTAAAGTTCTTAATTATAATTGGGACTCATGGGTCTTGGTATGAGTAGCCTCAGACAGGAGTATCTCCTGAATAAGGAGGTTTTGGCCTTTCATTGTACAAAAATTCTGCATGCAGGGAGCTGTAATGATAAACAATCAGCACCAGCTAGTACACTTGTTCTTGATCTCTCTATTTGTTGCTATCTTTTTATATATTTGTTGCTGTTGACTTCTTGTAGCTTCTCGGTTTATACCCAGTGGAGGGAGTGATACTTAAGGAATTTAAACACTTCCCTGAAAAAATTCCTTGCATAAGGTTGAATGTATTTTGTGATTCTATTAGCAACCAGGGGTATTATTCTATTAGCAGCAGGGGAAGCAATGCAGATGGAAGTACCAAATGCAGTGTTAGGGATGCGATGGGGAAGCTGTCCTACAAAGAAGCAGATCTTGTTTGAGAGCAAACACAAGACTAACAAGAACTGTAAGAAAAATTCAGCAGTCAGCCCCAAAGAAAAAGCTACTCTGGACTTGTTTCTCTAAACCTCCTGAACTTTGCTTGTACCAACACATGTACATACAGACCATACATGTGCCCATTCAAAATGTAGTGTTTCTTGTGTTACAAATGCAGGCCCATATCTCTGGGATAACTTGGAGCCACTGAATTCTTTGAAATATGTTTCAATGTTTATCTATTTCAAAAGGTTGGAGAAGTTATTAATCGTTTTTCCCACTTGCATTGTAGGAATGTAAGTACTTTAATTGTGTACATACTAAGTGACAAGAATGTATGTATTTTGTTTTCCTGATGGAAATCGTAAGTTTGCTGAAGATGCGTACTCTTGTGGGTATACCTGTACTGCACGCTGTTAAGCTAGTCTTCCAGCAGTCATCCTGCAGGGTTTTGCATCCGCACAGGACCCATGTCCTGGCTGATCTCTGCTATCTCTTATGCCGAGGTCTTGATGATTGATTATCACCTCCCCTTTTAAATGCTTGCACGCTTTGAGTCCTTCTACATCTAGCAGTATGTGGACCTTGCCTAGAGTACCTGGTTGAAGCCACACAAGGTCCTGAACTCCCTTGCCTTCAGGGGTGAGGGAAAGGTGCCGAATGCATTTGAAACAAAACTTCACAAAAAATATACTTCTGAGACCATTGCTAAAGAAGCGATCAAATAGGGTCATTAGCAGGATGCTGTGCAATTTGGGGGTTGAAAGAGGGCCTAGGGCCTCTTAGAGAAAAGCAGAATCTCAAAGCCAGACCCCACCTGTACTGTGAGGGGTTTTATCATAAGGCAAATCCATAGGAACTGCAGTCTGTGGCAGAGACCTTTGGAGCATTGTGAGTTTCAGCTGACACTGCTTCTGATACTGAAAAGCTGAAGAAAAACAGAACTTTTGACTGTGCAAGAGACTGACAAGATGCTAGAGAGAAGATCCAGAAGTGGATCTCGTCACAGCTGCCTGCTGGCCTTGTGGATGAGACCTGAGCTGGTAGGCATTAACCTGACTTAAACTTCGTTTTATTAGTGTTATGTAATGGCAGCTACTTATGATATACCGCTGGGCATGTTGGGAGAAGGGAGACAAAAGGAGACATTCACATTGGATGTAAATAACAAGTAGTCCTTCCAATCTCCTCCTTTGCCCTGTTGCTTAAAACAGACATTTCTGTTCAAAGACAGGCTTTTCAGTCAGATACGTGCTCAACTCTATCACCCCTTCTCTTGCTTTCTTCCTCTCTGCTCTCTTCCCTCACTCTTACCAATGCAGTTTCCATATACTTGAAAAGGGAAATTCATCAGGTCAGACCTGTATTCTTGCAGTCAGTGAGAAGATGCTGGTACATTTTTATCTCCAGCTACTGTCAGATTCACTTTCATACTTTCCAGTTCTCCCTTCCTAGCTCCATACTGTGAATCCTTTTCCACCCACCCATTGCACATCTCTACATACAAATAATACCTTGTCACACGACTGTCAACAAGTCCTCGCTGAACACACGTACGATCTAATGTTTTATGGCAGAAATTCCCAATTGTAGCATAGCCTTCAATGCCAAGAGAGGTATTTTGCAGATGTTTTTTCAAGTCAAAACCACAGTATTTATCAAAACAAAAGTATTTGCATCCTTGTTTCTGCACAGTTTAGTACATCATATTGCTAACCCTAGAAGTGGTTGATTTTTATTCTTTACCCCCCTGCAGAGCTGTGTGTATTTCACAAGACATCTTTTGTATCTTTCTTGAAAATGTACCATGTATTAGTACTTGTAACAAAAATTCTCACCTCTCTAGCCGTGCAAAGCAAAGCTGCCGTATAGCTTGTTTCAGAAGTGAGCCATGCTGTTTCAAGGTAGGCATGACTGGTCCAAAGCATGGCTTTTGGGACACGCACTGCCTTTCCTAACCGGCCATTTCCCCCACTTCCTGGCAGGGAGGTTGGCCATACAGCCTCCAGTGGTGGAACTGTCCTGGCCTCCCTCCCCGTGGAACAGTTTTCATCACTTCATTGCAGTTCTATCTGAAAAGATGCATATTCGTGAATGAACATTATCCTGTATCTCTGAAAACCTTGTTCACCAGTCACGCTGGGGAATTATGAGCCAATAGCATACCATGAAACTCTAAATCTGGAATCCGCAGCCACCCCACGATGAGCATATCTTTAAAGAAGAGTTTAGATACCGCTTGGGTGAGGAGAAGATGTTTATTGAAAATAAGCTTGGTCAACCTTAAAGGAACTTTGCCTTTAGATATATAAGAATGTGTTTATTATATAGACATGATCTGAAGATTTCGTTGTTTCTGTTTTGAAGAGGAGTGGCAGAATAGTTCACTGGTATGATGAAGCAACCTGTTTTCCATCTACATGGAATTAAGTTTAAGTGCATTTCTGTAACGTCTATAAATACTGGAATAAACAACAAAATTAATTTTTATCCCCATCGCAGGCTTGAGGAGCCATAAGGCACCCGTTCAGATGCAAAGTGGGATGTACAATTGCAAATGCATTTTGAGAAATAGTTGGAGTGATTTGCGTTGTAAAAAAAAAAATATTTAAAGGAGCTGCACTGGAAGAGTTCATAGAGCACTCAAGAACTTTGCAAGAGATCAGAATGGGACAAAGAGCAAGTATCCCTGCAGGGAAGGGAATGGGCAGGCTGGATTTTTGCTGGTATTTTTATTTATAATCATACTTCAAAGCGGTGGTTTCTTTTTGTAAGAAGTAAATAATGAATGGTGATATTTTTAACCTCCTACATTAGACTCTGCATTTCATCTACAAGAAAGTATATAAAATAGAGCATTCATCGCATCGTTAACATGAGCTGCTTGACTCCATGAATAACAAATGCAATTTATAAAGCTATCTGTTTGCTCGAGGTGATTCAAAGAACAGACTGGACAAGAAAGAGGCACAATTGTCAAGTCAAGGTTGAAATCAAACTCTGATGATTTTGAAAGCCTGGCAATGAATCCTGGCCACTTTAATTTTGTGTTTGTTTTTTTTTTTGTCTTAATAATACCCGCTTCCCTCTCAAATTGAAGAACTGACGAGAATACCTCGGAAAAATCAAAGCAGTCTTGGCAGTGCTGCAAAAACTTTAATTTATTAGCAAGTATCAGGGAGCTGTAATCAGATAAACTATGTAGTCATAGGTTTGATTTCTAATGCTGCCACCTGCCATAATGCTAAACCCAAAGGGCATTTGAGGTGGAAGTCTTTTACAGGAAAACCTGCAAAACAGTAGATCAAAAGACAGTTGATGGGCCTGTGATAACAGGGGACTCGCAAAATGCTGCCAACACCTCATAGGAAATTTTTAAAAACATTGGTCAGAAACAGTTCTGCTTGTGGATCATATTTCTAATAAAAAAGAATCCCTTTGTTCTCATGCTTTTGCTAAGAATATTTGCATGCAACCTGGCTTCCTGCCTGGTAGTGTTGTGATAGTATGGCATAAAATCTTCTCTGGAGGTTGGGTTTTTCACAGTGATCAGTCCTGATGTTACAGGAGACTGTGGATATGGTACTGGTGGAGACAGACTAATGAAGAAATCCAGTGCAAATAAATTATAAATCAGGAAAACTTTTCCCAATTTTTCTTTTCTCCTGCAATCCATATTTATTTGATCCTGAAGTTAAATAGTCCTTAAGCTGATGCATAAGTAGGTGCAAGGCTGCCTGGAATGTCAGCACTGGAATGCGCAGTTACGTATATGGTGATTATTTTTTTTTTTCTTCAAAAAGTATAAGCAAGATTTTAAAAACAACCAATTGCTTCTATTTGATTGGATAATTGAACCAAAGTAATTTTTCCAAATTCATCAGACCTTGTCTGTGGCTTTTGCAACATCCTTTCTGGATCTAAATAGCTCAAATGTCCATTTTGTTTTCTCTTCTTTCTTCACTGCCTCTCTCTCCTTCCTTAGAGCTTCATACTTTCCACACAGAAAATCAACACTTTCTGGCTTTCATTCTTTTAAACACTCTGAAAGTGTTTAATCCTGAAAATTGACTGGGGTTAGGCCAGATTAATGCTTGAAAAGAACAGGAATGCTGGGTGGTGCTGCTTAGGGTGTCAAACTTTATCATAAAGTGCTGACACCTGTGTTTGTTCAAAAATCACAAAGCGAGCACGTGACAGTGATTTCTTCCTAAAGTGTAAATGCAGAATTATTCTGATTTGCCTCTTTGTTATTCTTTGAGAATTCACTTCTTCATGCTTTCACAACACTAGAGGTGGGGCTTTTTTTCCCAGAAAAAACGCCACCAAACAGAAATTGTTGTTTTCACATAATGCTTCTATGAGCTTGGGCTTAAAGGAAAAAAATCTTAATATTGTGAAACTGCTGGTACTATCACAACAGTTGGCAATAATGCTTATTAACCTAGGTAGTGGCAAGTGCTGCTGGAGTCTATATTGCAACTTAAAATGTCAAGCTCAACAGATTCCTTACAAGTCACGGGGAGCCTGGAGCTGCTACCAGCTGGCCTGTCTGACTTGGAACAACTGATGGCAATGAGTTTCTGCCCTCTTGGTGGGAGTGGAAGTGCCTCTTGTACACGCTTGCTTCATGACAGAGTTTAGTTGTCAGTGCAAGTTTTGATGGCATAAAGCTCCTTTATTTCCTTTTTTCTTTTCCTTTCCATTTCACTCATGCATATGTTCCCCCAAGCTAGTAGGGATATTTTTCTGAGTAAAAGTATCAGGATTTAACCCTGTAGAAGTAATTTCTCCCCTCTTGCAGCCTGTCGTGGAGTCTCTCAGAGATTTTCAAGAATTTATCTCTTTTCCTGTATACGGAAGAGTAATATTACTTCACAGGTAGCAGAACTGAAGCAGAGACTGACTTTTCTTATACTTGAAATTTTGTGGCAAGGCTGAGGACTGTTTTCATTTAGTTGTTTGTTGATTTTGTTGTTGTCAGTTTTTTACTGTAGTCTGGTACTTTATCCACCGAAAAGCATTTCTCCTTTTTCTAATGGCTGACCTCCTGTTGATCTAATCATCTTAGTAAATAGCAGAAACCCATGTTGATGATGGGCTGACTAATTTCCAAACCCTTTCTGTGACAAATGTGTTTTATTACTAATAGGTGAGAGATAGGATTGCATCTTTCAGAGAGAGAGGTCTGGACACAGAGGATCTGTCCTAAAAGGAGCTGTAGGAAAGGATGCTTAGGCTGAGTTTTATCTTCTGTTGTTTTCATGTCTGATAGATGAAGAACCAGTGGAAGGAAAAGTGGAGGCACTAATACAAAATGTGTGTATTGCTTGCTGGAATGAGGTAAGGATATGTAGACTCTCATGTGGTCCCAGCTGCTCTGAAGGATCCACGATGAAGCTGTTTGCTTGCTCCTCATACTGTGTTAGTTCATACATACCTGAAATTAATAACTCTTTTTTCCCTTCTCCCTCTAGAGTCACTCTTTAGCCTAGGTCAATCAAAGAATACTGATAAAGCCATATTTGAGTGACATAAGCACCACCATCAGGAGCATGATAGAGACTCCGTTGTGCTATTCAGCATGGCTGCAGCAATAAAGAGACTCTGCTTCCATCCAATTGTGTTTTAATCCCTTTTTCTCCTAGGGAGTCACAGCTTTGCTTTTGCTGAAGACAGGAGATTTAATAGTCGGCACCGGAGGAGGGATCGTAGCTCTCTGTAAAGGCTCAAACTACAAAGTAATGAAGTGAGTTTGTAGATGGGAGAATCAGGAGGGTAGAGGTGACAATTCCCCCAAAGGGTCACAGTATAAGAACCAATCATTTCTACGTAAAGGCATAATCCAAATAAATCTCAGTTTTTCAATCCTGCAGACAAAATAGACAGTATGGTTCCAGCATAATGAAGTTGAAGCAGACTGAAAATTACTGCATGCGTTTGCACAGAAGTGAATTGCCTTACTCATTGTTCATTTTAAACGACCATTGTTTCCTTTTAGGCATTAGGACTCAGATCCTAAATTGATGCAAAGTGAGACAGGTTTGTTGAAGTCAGTAAAATTATGCTTATTTACGCCAGCTGAGAAAGAGTAGTTTTTGCCATATAAAAAAGGGTTTGTTGGAGGACATGGGATTGTAAAGGAGGGCTCCACTAATTTTATAGGCACATGTCTGGAACTGCTGGAGTACTTGCAAAGCTTTTTTCTGCATACAAAATAGAAAGCTGCAGGCGTCATTTCCCAGTATGTAATTTGAAAATTGGGCTCGCAGCTATTCATTTTGCATTGTTTGAGTAGCCAACTTAAGCGTACAGTTCTGCAAGCTTAGCTTTGCAATTGAAACAATAGAAGATCTAAACTGTCTGGAAATATTCTTGAATATGAGATATTTAAGTGCACTTGAGCAAGAATATCAACAAAGATGCTGTTACCTTAGGCCCTGGTCCAGAAAACAAAGTCTCCAAAGCACTGCCTTTGCGAGCCCTGGCAGAGTAGCAGGTGGGACAGGCAAAATCATATGAAGTATTAACATGTGACTGGGAATGAAGTGTTAGTCCTGATCACGTTCTTGCATATTGGTATCACAGCCTAGTATGGAGCTTTTTGGGGAAGCAAAGAAAGTCAAGACTCTATAAAGTCAGGGGAAAAGGGAAGCTGGAAAATAAGTACCTCGAGGTCAATGTCAGGCCAAACATCATCTTTCTCTTAACAGGAAAATTCAAGTTCAAGGTGCTGTCACTTCCCTGACATGTAGAGGTCAGGGTCACCAGTTCTTTGTAGGGACAAATGAGTGCCAGATTTATCGAATTAACTACAATGCGTTTAAAGAGGAGCTGATTGCTGCTTGTCATAACGAAGCTGTCCACGACATCGTTTTTCCTTTGTGAGTATAACTGGCTGGGATGCTTTTGGCTGGCGAAAAAGTTAGAGTAAGCTGCCAGTAAGGTCAGGATACCTATGTAAACACCTTTTAACCAACAGGAACCCAAAGCCTATTAACATCCTTACGGGATGATTTATACAGGCAATGCTGTCACCTACCAGTGAAATGCAAGGGTGACGGTGAGCTGCTGCTTGAAAGCAGAAGGCAGCAGTTCAGTTTGAGAATTGGAAAAATCATCTATCTACAAAAAGAATTCTAAATAAAAAGACTAGAATTATTTATGTTTGGATAATGGCAGCGATGGCATCCTCCCCCATTTCTCCTAGGATTGGTGCTATGAGACTCGTGCCTCTTAGTCTGCCAGCAGTGTGAATCCTGTAAGTCTGCTTTTGTGTACCCTGTTGCAGCTAGAGCTTGTAGAGGTGTCTGCTTTTCTACCCACCTGTAACATCAGCTGAATCCTGACTAACAAAACTGTTCAAAGAGGCTTTTTGAGTGTCTCAGCCTCACTTACGATTTCATGTTTGACAATATGGCATGTTATATTAAATTCTAGGCTTGTGCGAGAGATGCTGGGTATACTGGTATGTCTTCTGTCTGCTTTTGTCTTGTGAACAGACAACAAACGTTCCCTCTTCCTGTATAGTAGGATCATGACACTTTGTTTAAAAAAAAAAAAACCACAATGGATCAGTTTTTTCCTCTCCAAAAAGAGAATGGGAGTTTGATCCCAATGAAAGTTTTTATTTTTGGCATGTTGTTATTGCATCGCTTCTTGACACGGCACAGAGGATCAAATCTTATCAAGGTACAGCAAAGCGCACAATGCAAGAAGCCCTTCTCCCTGCTTGTCACCAGCCTGAAAAGTCCACATCTTTCTAATTTAATGAGAAAATCATTTGGAGCTTTAGGGTAATCTGATGCTAATATACCTGACTGACACATCTGCATCACAGGTATTTGGATGAGCTGGATTTAGTGATGATTGTAAGGCCTACAGGACTACATTCTTGCATATATGTTTAAACTTTTTATCTGTTAACTGCTCTTGAACAGAGCATATCACTGATCGGAAAATACAGGCTTAATTTCCCTGTTCTGGCTTATTTCAGAATACCTCAATTGCTGATACTAACCTGCTTTATAAAGCACCCGCACAAGCTGGGCTTAAAAGGTGCCACACTTTTGTTGTGCCAGTTTTCTCTGTCCGGGTTCGTCCTTCCGGGCATTGATGGTGATGTTGAACAAAAGCTTGTGGTACCTTTCTAGATCTCACTTTCTGTCATATCCCTAGGATGTATGGTTTAGAGCTTATTTCAAAGCATTCAATCCCATAGCTTTTGAAATGCTGCAGGTCTTTTTTTATTCAAACATGTATAACAAGTATATTATGAACAGGCTTTTGCCATCATTTCTATTGCCTTCAGCGATGTTGAATAGGAATCATCCAGTAAGCAAGATAAAAAATGACATCTTTATAATATGAGGCTGCTGTTAGTCCCTGATGTTAAATCTGGGCAGTCAGCACCTCTACACCCACTTTTGTGTCTATTATATACAACACGTGAAGTTGTTTAGAGATTGAATATGGGAAATAAATGTCACAACTTTAAAAAAGTAGAAAGAATTCTTTTAGTTTCACTTTAAATGTTCCTTAAAATGCATCTTTGAGTAGAAACCAGACCAGGGGAATGTTATGTGAGAAAGGTGATGCTACGAAAAAGGCCTTTGTCTTAACCATGGTGATCCCTATTGGAAACAGTTGCATGTTAGAAACAGCTAAGCTTTGAAGGATGATTTAAGGTCTGACAAAGAAAGAAGCGTTTTCTGTATGCGCTTCCTCATTATCTCTCCTCTCTGAATTCTTCAGGGGAACTTCTGACTTGTTCGGTACCTGCTCCAAAAATGATATTCGGGTGTGGCACACCCCAGAAAACAGGGAGCTCCTACGAATCGTCATCCCCAACATGATCTGCCATGCCATGGATTTTATGAGGGATGGCAAAAGCATCATTTCAGGTAATGATGAGTCCAGACCCATGGCTGAGTCCAGTCTTTAAGTGTTGCCAAATTTAGTAAACATCAGTATGTTAGAATGAAGAGAGGTTTAAATTGGGAATGGGTTTAAATTCAGTTCATTGCTTGTCCCAAAGGCCTCTCTGCTTGCAGCTCGTCCAATGAACTTTGCTCACAGCCCCCAGTATCCTGGTGCTGTAGTTACAGTGTCTGTGGAAGGCAAGGTTTTCAGACCTCGCTTTGGATGTGAATTCCAGCAATTCAGAACTCAGTTCAGTCTTATTCAGAGGACCTAATTCCAAAATATTAACCTTGTTGTATGCAACAGATTAACCTGTGATGTATATAGAGCTTCTTTTGCATAAACCCTGCTACCCATCACCATATGCAAATTGCTTACACAGGAACTACTGCAGTTCTAGAGCAGCAATGCCGTCCCCCCATTGTTACCAAACCAATTTGCCCATAGCCAGAATCAAAAAGGTATTAAATTTCAATAGTTTATTTGGGGCTATAGTTCTGCAGGCTCATCTACAGTACAGTGGTTTTCACATGTATGCTGCTGATCTTACAGGGTGGGCCTTATAAAGGAACTTAATAAAAAAAGGGGTTCATTTGGAAAGGAAAGGGAGACAATAATACGAGGAAAGTCTGTGCACCTGGGTAATCTGTTTCTTTTTATTCACCAGCTTGGAATGACGGGAAAATCCGTGCCTTCATGCCAGAGACTGGACGGCTAATGTATGTGATTAACCATGCCCATAGCTTGGGTGTGACGGCAATTGCTGCTACAAGTGACTGTAAACAGATCATTAGTGGAGGAGGTGAAGGGCAGGTAATTTTTGCTTAAAAACCTGGAGCAGCTCTGTGCTCTCATCACAGGGCCTGCGAATTGTCTGTAACTGCTTAGTCAGAAAGTGAGCTATTCTTAGCTTTCACTTGAGCAAAGGACTGAGTTCAAAAATACTAGCCTTTGATATATGCAAATCTCTTGCTCTCCAAGGGCATAAAGTAAAACAATGCCCCGATTTCTTCTGGCATGGTAGTCCTGGAAATCCTTCTAATGCAGAATATGCTCTTAATCCTTTTTGTTCATTTGCCTCTCCCCTATATTGGCTTATCTGCATTAGTCATTGTTTGCAAGCCTCTGTCTAACTGTGCTCTAGCACAGGTTTTTTTTTTGTCATTGCTTTGTAAGTCCTCGTCCAGTCTAAATTGACCTGTATGAATTGATTTAAAAGTACAAAGTTCACTTTATATCGCTATAGTGTCTATGGGGTAACTTCCTAATTTTCTGGGATGGTACTATCTGGTTTTGGTGATGGTGTTAAAAAAAGACTCTAATAATAACTCAGTTTCTAATACAATTATGGAAACATTCCAATACAAATAACAATAAAAATAAGAAAATATGTTGTAGGCATCATACCTGTGCATTTCAACAATTTTTTTCTGGCCATATAAAACAAACACCATGTACTTTGGCTACTCCATGCATTTCATATAGCTGTGGCCCTTTTCAATCTGCAAAAGTGACAATACTCTCCTAATGTTTAAATAATTGAAACACAGGGGGTTTATTTATATTAAAAATAAATAATTAGACTTGGAAGGCTCATATTCAGTTTCTTGCCTTGCTTTGGACTTCCTCTCTGCGTTCTGGCAAGCACTCAGAACCAGACATGTAATTGTGCGTGGATTCCTGACTCTGATTTAACCGCTCTGTGCTTTGTTTGTGTACCCTGATCTCAAGTGTTCAGTGTGCCATGCTGGAGATTGCAAGGGAAGTCTTGAAGAGTGAGGAATTGAACTTAGGTCTTCCAAATCTCAGGCTAATGTCCGAATCATTGAACCATCTTTCTGAATCATTCTGAACCTCAGCTCTCCTGTAGAGCAGTAACGGCAGCACTGCCTTGTCTCACTGCATAAAGACATTAGAGATGATGAGCCACTTCAACCCTTCACTAATAAAAGAACAGTTAAGTACCTTGGATGATTAGCGCCAGAGGATGCAGAAGATGGAGGACCTAGATTCTGTATCAACACTGACAGAATGCACAGGCTCTGGTTAGTTGATCTCTGAATTGAAAAAGACAGCTGAGACAGAATTAGAGCTAAAGGTTCGTTAAGTAGAAATGAGAACTGCAGGGGAGCACTTGTAGTATTCATTCGGAACACAAAAAAAGGTGTTCTGAAATGCTAATGGTTCTGTCAAAATCAATCATCTGAAAGCTGTGACATTCAGGGTTGCTTAAGGGATCTGGATGCTCTGATCATTTAGCAAGTGGGAATTGGACATCCAAATCCCATAGGTAACTCAGCATCAGACTTGAAAACGTGGAAGGTCAGCTCTTTCTGCTTTTGATGTCAGTGTCTAAATTTCTAAATTTTCACTAGGATTTGACCTTAGCAGAATGTAAAAGCGAATAGACATCATGAAGTTTGGCACTAGTGGGAAAATAAATGCAATGTGTGAAGGATCAAGTCCTCAAAGCAGAAAGATTTTTGCTGTTACCACCACTGGGAAAAGAGGTGCTTTCAGGCACATATTTCACATCAAAGATTTAAAGAGCTGTTTTGTATTTATTTACTGGCATTATATGTAGCACAAATAGCAGGTAGCTTTTTTATATTCCATTTCAGAAGCCTTGCTCTTTGATCTTTAAAGCACTGCTGGAAATATATCATGGATATTTTCATGGCTTTTTCCTGATCAAGAGATAAGTAAACTGAAGCATGGGAGAGTGGGAACTTGGCAAAAACAAGGTCTGGGATTAATGGTCAGGAATTCCCGAACCCAGTGGATTACACTCTCAAGAACTCAGTTCAGTTTTATGGGTCAGCTGCATGAATAACCCACAGGAAAATAGAGACAGTCCACTGAGATTGAGTTGCTGTATGTATTATAAAAAAGAGTTCAGGAAAGCCTTAGGCATCCTCCTGAGCTCAGTCAGGACTAGGTGGTACAAGAGCAGATGTTTGTTGCTGATTTTCAGGTGAGGGTCTGGGAGATTCGTGAGAGGACTCACAAACTGGGGGAAGTTCTGAAGGAGCACGTATCTGCTGTGTCCTGCATTAAGATTAAGAAGAACGACCGAGAGTGCGTCACAGCCAGCCTTGATGGAACCTGCATCATCTGGGATATTGTGTAAGGAGACAGATAAGTATTGGAAGGCACTTAAAGTGCTGGTAATGTCTCTCTTGGCTCACTGTACCCTATTTGGGACACCACATAGTGAGGAGGAGGGGAAAAAAAGCATTAGGAAATAAAAATTACTAGAAAGAACAATCAAGTCAGGGAATGTAGAACCTCCAATGCTAGAAACTTTTCAGAAAAGTTTAGACAAACATTTGTCTGTAGTTGTCTACTTGTATTGGATCCTCCTCGGCCAAGGGGGTGGAGCAGGTGATTTCCTAAGTTTCCCACTAGCTCCATTTTCCAGCACTGTACGATTCTTGTCGAACTACTGCAGATCTGCAGACTTTCTGCATTGTGGTAAGGATAAGGAAATTTTTGCATAGTGAATAGCACCTAGAAAGCATTCTGGATTAAAAAAATAAATTTCAAATGACAGCAGATCAAAAGTTTTACAAGGCAGCTGTGGTAGGGAACAGAACTGATGACCCTAATAGGCTTCATGAAACCCTGAAATCAGACCAATACCTGAAAATATCCAAGTAGAAAGAGAGATCTGATATATAGCATAAGCAGAGATAGTTCAGGCAATCAAAGGTTGTTTTTTGACCCTATTGCTCTATCCTGTTTTGGGGGTGTTTTGCAGGCGTTTTGTAAGAATACAAATGATTCTAGCCAACACGTTGTTCAAATGTGTGTGTTACCATCCTGAAGAGTACCAGATAATCACCAGTGGAACAGACAGAAGGGTAAGCAAAACTGCAGGAATTCTGTTTGCAGTACTTCCAAAACGCAAAGTCTGGCACTTGTTACGTGATGAAATTCCTGTACCTCCACAGAAGATTGTGTTACAGGGCAGTGCTGAAATCTGTGTGCTATTCATGCACAACTGAGCCCTCCTCTCTGGTCTGCTCTCTAGATTGGATACTGGGAAGTGTTTGATGGCTCTGCAATCAGAGAAGTGGAAGGGTCTGTATCGGGTTCTATCAATGGGATGGACATCACATCAGATGGGGCATACTTTGTCACAGGTGAGTGGGTGGTTGAAACTAGAAAAGAGGAGGTCATATTAAGAGCAGGAAAAGGAAGGCAATGAACCAAGGATCTCAGTAAAGAAAAAACTAAAAGGAAGGGTCAGCTAAAGTGGAAAATAAACTGAATCACTGAAGAAAAATACTTAGAAAAAGGCTGTGGTTCAGACTTGGAAGATACTATGGTTCAGTCTTGCAAGATGTAATGTAAAGGTGAAGACAAGGTTCAGATGTCTCCAAGGGTTTCACCTTGCCCTGCTCCTCATTTAGTTCAATGGTGTTCACTGTGCACTTGAATGATTTGTTCAAGTGCCCTACTCTAGAAGCCTGGCAGTCTCTATTGGTTTGCAAGTGGGAATGACTCCAGGCTCCATCCAACCTCAGGCTCACATGTTCCCCACCATCATGACATCTCTTGTGGGAGCCTAGCACTAGCATAGGCAAGCCATGGTATTGTGTATAACAACTGTAGTTAAAACCCACAGATTTGATGTCAGCACCTGTTCTCTTAGATTAACCTCTTAAATGAATGTTGGTTAAGAGCCTTTCAAAGGCCCTCCATATTATTGGTACCAATTGCTGGCCATAGCTCACTGTGATCTGCTGGTGCAGGTCCTGAGCGTTCTACTGGACACTGACTCTCTACTTTAGTTGAAAAGAAGTAGTTTTTGCCATAATGCCCAAGACAATGCATCCCACTCTTCCTAAATCGAATGAATGCCTAAGTATTCCCCTGCCTGTGATCTGGGAACAAAAAGCAGCAGAACTCTGTGTGATCATGTTCTTCCTTTGTGCCCAATGCAGGTGGTGATGACCATCTAGTGAAACTGTGGGACTATAACAAGGGTGCAGTGACTCATGTTGGAGTGGGCCACAGTGGCAATATCACCCGTCTCAAAATCTGCCCTGGGAACAAGTACATTGTGAGTGTGAGTGCAGATGGTGCCATCCTGCTCTGGAAATACCCAGACTTGCACTAACAGCTGGAACAGGAGCTGCTAGGCTGCTGCTTCTTCGGCCAGTCCTAGCAAACCTTTTCTCTTACTGAAGTTGTTTTAAAGCATTTATACTATTAGAGGAGATACTGTTTTTATACTCTCTGGTATGCATTTACCAGATCTTTCAGATATCCTTTCTAGCAGTGAATAAATAGGTCTGATTTTTTTCAGGGGGGCTAAGAATTTGCTGTTCCTTTTAGATTGGTATGAAAGGAGTCATCACTTCTGAAAATCATCTAGGCTGTTGTTATAACACTTGCATGTTGTTACTGCCACCTTTCCTGGTAGTCTCCTAGCGTAGTCTTACTTGTATGTCTGCTCATTTGTGGGCTCTCTCTTGCTTTCACGTGGTCTCTCTTTCTCTTCCCTACCCCCTTCTGTCCCTTCCTTTAATGAATAACTTGTTGTGTAAATTCAGTCTTCTGTGTTCATTTTAATTTGTCTGGTCCTGATTAAGGAAAAAGCTCTCAGCTCCAACTCAGGCGTTTAACTGGGAAGCTCTTTTGAGCCAAGCTTTTAAATCACTATTCTCAAAGGAATACAAGGATGTCGGGGCTTCTTCATTTGCGGTGTCCAATTTAAAACTCTCTTCGGGGGCCTGGTTTTCAAGAGTGAGAGTGCAGTCATTTCTAAAAATGCCTGGATGTTTCCAGCTAGCCACACTCAAATTCCTGGTCATTGGCCTAATTTTTCAAACGGGCTCCACATTTGCATGAAATATGTATTTAGTCTGAGAATGAGTAGCTGGTACCATATCTAGCATTAAAACCAACAGCTCTCAAGATACTGTTTGTTTAAAGATCAGTGTAGGTAGCCAGCCTGTGAAGTGATGCAAGTGAAGTAAATATTTCTTTTGCAGGCATTGAAGGCCTGTGAGAATTCTGTCATAAATTAAAGTGGTAGCAAAATGTTGCATTCCTTAATGTTAAGGCTTACAGACGTTTTAGTTAACTAAGATGATGATTTAAAGGCAGTGTCAGCTAGATACTGTCATACCTGTATTGATAGTATTATCTGTTCTGGTAGGCAATGGGGCATAGGAATTTAAAGGTATGATTGCTTATTACTCTTTATATGCCACTAAAAATGTTTACTGCTCGTAGCACAATAAAGGTGGATCCTTTTGGACTGGCTCGGGAGGGTATCTGTGCACCTATGTTGTCCATCAAACACTATGCAAGTCATATTCCTTCTGGTTGAAATATCTCTGCTCTTATTAATGGAGTCTTTAGCAAAGGAATTAAATCATTCCTTCCTCTTTTTCTTTGGAGTCAAGACTTGATGCTATGCAGCGATAAACACTCCAGCAGGTTTTACAAGCTCTGCAGCAATGCTCGCTGTGGTTTGGAAGGCAGGATCAAACCGCTGGAATGTAGGACAGACAGGCAAAACATTTGTGCTTCTGCTAGAAGAACGAAAACAGAGTGGAGCCTGTGAGAGCTAACCAGGCAGTCCCGAAGACCCATGTCACCGCCAGCTCCCCATGCTCTCCGAGGTGCGGGGTTTTGAGATGCAGATAACTGTCCGGCAGAGTCCCACGTCAGCAAAGCAGTTCCGTTCCCATCAGATCACACCAAACCTGTCATTACAGGTGGGAGGAGGATCCAAGTACCCACTGGAGAGCCAAAGTCCTGTTTTGGTGTGGCTGTTCCTGGGGTGTAAAGACCAAAGCCCTGCACACTCCTCCTGCACCAGCTGGTTCTTCACGGCTCGGAGGCAGCAAAGTGAGACAGGCTTTCCTGACTCACCTGGCCACCGTCACCCACTGACTCTGTGGAAGACAGGAGTTGGCACACTAAGAGTAAAGGCTGGTAAACCACACTTTCTGTTTGTTAGAGCCAGCCAGGAGGCTCAGGCCCTGTGTCTGTCACCTTACGGTTTTGAAAAGTAAGAGCGCAGGTTCTTTGAAGAAGTCCTGTCCTGCCCATCTTTCTTTTCAGTATGAAGCAGCATCACTTTATTGAAGCCAGCCCAAATTTTAAGCATGGACACTGGGTGAATTTTCTTGCTCCAGCGTAGCCAGCAGATGTAGGTCACAGGGTGGTGGTTGGTACGCTGTAGCAGCAGCACAGCATCTCCCCTGTGCTCTGTTAGACCCTCACCCTAGTGTCCATACACAAAGCTGTGCCATCATATCCTTGCTGCTGTAGGGGTAGATGATTTGGGGCACTGCCCCACATACTGTATGGGAAATAGAGGCAATAACCACATAGGCTGTGACTGCAAGTAGCTGTCTGACCTTTGGAAAAGATGGGCCCCATGGCTGAGCCAGGCACTGGCAAGCTTGTCTACTTTCCAAATAGTGCTCAGCTACGCAGCAGCTTGGCAGCACTCGTTCCCCCAGCACAACCTTGCCCCTGCCGGCACGTCTCACACAGGCGCTAAGAGCCATACATGCTCCTCACCAGCACAGCCGGGGTCTCCAGGGAGCCCCTGGAGCTTTACAGATGGATGTGACCTACATGAATAACGCTGAGAAGCAGACATGCAGAGTAACCTGTGCTGCTCTTCCACCAGAAGTCAGGTTGTGTTTGGAAAACATGAACTGCAGTCGCAAATTTCCCCATTGTGCATTTGCCTGACAGCAGGCACGTTGTATTTTACAGCGTGAATGTATTCATTACGCTATCATTAGTCATGAAGAACAGCCCGGTTAATAATGGAGATCTATAATACTCGTACACAGAATCAGCCGTAACGAATGCACTATTACCATAAAGTGCCGGGGAGTTTCAGTGCCCCCCTCTTCGCAGAGGCAAAGGGAGCTCATGTCGCTCCAGTCATGTCAGCAAAAGCAAAGAGGTGTCACTGGCAGAAGGCATGTTTGCATACCCGTTGCATATGCTCCTGATATCTCTGCCCCTATATCTAGCTGAATTCTCATCAGGAGGAGGAGCGACCAGGGGCAGGACAGAAATGCATGGGCACCATGGTTGCACCAAGCTCCCTTACGCTGTCTTGATCGACTCCGGTGATGTTAAAGTGGAGTTAAATTCTGGTTCCTGTGGGCTTGGGGGAGGGGATGAAGGGAATGTCAGTGAAAATCAGGCATGTGCTGGGTTTTGGAAATGGCTTTATAATTCTTATTGTTAGGGGAAACAAAAGAAAGTTATGTTAAACAGACTTCAGTGATGTCTGACTCTCGGTGAAAGCAGTCATCGGCTTTACAGCATTGGGCCGTGAGATGGGAGACCCAGGTTTCTAGCTGTACATCAATTCACAGCTCAATGCTGGGATCGGAGCCCCTTATCACCAAGAATTTGGCTTCCAACCCCCTGATGCCATTCCCCCTCTGTGAGCTGCTTTCTCCTGGGCTCAGGCCACGGACACTGCTGACGTACAGCCCTGCAGAAAGGCTTGCATCACCCTTCTTGCCTTCACGTCCTCAGCACAAAAGCTTCATAGTAAGGTTTTTTAACACACTAGCATCTGAAGTTAATTTTTTTTGTTGTTGACTTGCACATCCCTCAGCACCTCGGGGTGTCTGTTTGTGTGGAAATAAATAGCCTTGTGCTCGTCCCAGCAGGTGCTCTAACGCACGGCTGCGCTGGGCCACTGCGCCAGGAGACAGGGAGCCCAGCTCCAGGCTCAAAGTGGACAAGTCCGTGGGGAATTCAGCTTACCCAGACCTTGCCAAGAAAGGTCACAGCACGGACATCTTGCTGGAGATTGCAGAGCAAAGCCATCGTAGTTGCCTAAAACAACGGGATTTTAGGCAAAGGTTAGCAGGAGACATCCCCTTGATCTGTCGGCAATGAGCAAGGCATCTCCGCTCGCTCTCTGGGGCTTTGACTGCTGCTCTGTGCTATTTCCAATCAGTCTGGACTTTGCAGGTCCTTTAAGGCCTTGTTCATGTGCATCCTGACCGCTTCCCCCGATTACCCGGGCTTTCCTCTCTGCCAGGTAGCAGGGCAGTAGGGGAGTGGCCCAGCTCTCCTCCAGCAGCTTCCAGACCAGCCGGGCTAGGAGCTGAAGGTTGGCAGAGCCTGAGGCAGAACGATGGCTGCCAAACCTGCAGAGAAGGCACTCCTTTTCTGCTGCATCTCAGCATCTCTGGCCAGCCAGGCTGTGGATCTGCTGGGAGACCTGTGAGGAATTCCAGTGGCGCCTGGCCACAAGCGATGGCTTTACAGAGATCCTTGCTGAGTGCTGTGTCTGTACCCTGCCCTGTGCGGGTGGCTGGGGTCTCGGGTTGTATGAGCTCCCCTGGGAAAGGGGGAAACTGCTGCAGCCTGTTGCAACCTCGAGCACCTACAGCTTCCTCGCCCACCTGGATGTACCTTCCCTGGCCAGCGGCCCTTAGCTGAGTTCCTGGAGATCCATTTAACATCAGACCTGAATCAGGTCCCCATCCTTCCTCACAAACATACCTCCCCTTGCATCAGGCTGGGTTTCTGCTGGTGCTCCCGGGTCTGCCCTGTCCCTCGGAGCCATGCTGCGTGCTAGAGGGGCGAGATGAGCAGAAGGGTCCTGCCTCCCAGCACCAAACCGGTGCTTTCCCAATCCCCCAGCAAAAAATGAGGTTGCTGGTTGAGCAAACATGGAGTTCAATATATGTAGCTCTGTGAGCTGGTTTTGTTTATCCTTGAGATACCCAACGTGCAAGGCTGATTCCCACCCGAATCCTCTGAGCTCCCCCAGCCTGGCCGTAACACCTGGGAGAGCCCCAGGCGGTTTCTGCAGCACAAGCCCCGCTCACCGCTGGTGTATCGGGGCTCGGCTCTCCCTTCCCACCCCCGGTTTCAGTGCCTGCTGCAGAGATCACATCATCTGAGTTCAGAGGGGATAATGGGTGAAAATAGCCTGGAGATACCTGCTCAGTGAAGCAGCCAGGGACCATACATATGCATTAAAAACAAAGCAAAATTGCTGCAAACAAAGTGCAGAAGTTCCTGCAGCTCGGGGTTATCTGCTGGCTTTTCATGTTCAAAACCGATGGAGCATGTTCATCGCTATTCATCAGCTTGATGCGAGATCCCTGGAAAAGCAGCATTTACCTGCCTCGATGCTGTTCCTCCTCAAACATACTCCAAAAAAAAGGCAGGACCCATGCATCTTTAATAGGGGTACTAAATAACTTAGTTTGCTATCTAT